AGGTTAGAAAGACAAAGTTAGCGGTGCTGACAATTCCAGAAGACTAGGATTTTGACCAATTTGGTCTCGTGTGCTGTTACGCGTATGAGGGCGGTTGTCACTTCCCGGCTGCCCACACCGTGGAAGGTTGTTTCTTGAGGAACCTGAAAAGGAAGGTACATTAGCGTTGGTCTTAACGACCTGGGAGCGTGACCGCAGAGCCCAAGGGACAACTGCTTGAGGCCGGTCACGCACGGCCTTTTTATGAAAGGTTTTTTGAGTGTTAGCTCCGCTCTTGAAAGCCCTTAGTGGGCACCCTTACCGACGGAGACGGAAATCCATGATGTAAGGTTAGGTGTGACATTTTTAGGGTCGACCTTTTCTAACCCCCTCCTTCCTTATGAGAAGGCAGCATCGCGGCAGATTGTTGTCCGAGGTTGCTGTCTGAGGTAAACACCTTACTGCTGTCACACCCCTCTGCAGTCAGTATAACAACTTCACCCTCAGACCTAGCGTAACTGCTTTTAATGTCATCGTTCTTCAATCGACCAGCCTGGCATGGCAGAACCTTCCAGCCAATATAACTCGGTTGGGTCATCACGATAGGCAAGCCCGACCACCACATCAAGTTAGCAACTTCGGACTAATAAACTTGTGTCCCATTAATAATTCAAATAAAATCTTGATGATCAATGTCAACTATTGAAAACCATACATTTACAATCGATTTTTATTTTAACCAATTAAAAATGAATGCCTAGTTTAGTAAAAATCTTATATATATAACATTACTTATATATATTTTTAAATGATTTTTAAAAACTTGACATAATAATATTTATTTATTTCAATGTTTACTAGTTACAATGTAAAAATTTCACTATTCATCATAGTATGTATGTATAATGTTGTAACTTGTACACACAATTGGAATAAAGAGTCAGTGGTTATATTTTGTTTAAATTATACTAACTAACATTGATCATTGAACATCGCCCACCATTGAATCACATGTAAAGCGAATGATTATGATAGATAGATAGATAGATTTGTTAAAATTAAACAAATATATGTGAATTTTGAATATAAAATAAAATTAGTCAGGTGTATTAATTGTGTATGTATATCAAGTGAATACTACTAATAAAATAACTGAAACTAGAGTTCATTTTATTTGGATCGGATATCAGATAATAATAGTAATAATATCGATCAATAATTTTAGCACTGATTTAGAAAAAAATATTAATCTTAAGATGAATAATACACAGTTTGTTTAGTGTTTAACTGGATTCAGACATATCTGTATGGAATGGTGAGTCATTCATTTTAGAAAAAAACACTTTTGAAATAAATTATTTGCATTACAGGGGTTGTGAAGATTGTGAAGTTACACATTATTTGAAACCATGAATCGATCAGTGTTAGACCACACCATTAGAAACCTGGAAGAAGCACTTGACGGCCGTCAAGTCCTGGTATGGGAGTCCTCAGCAGTGTGCATCCAAGACTCCGGTACCCTGCATGATTCGAACCCAGGACCTTCGATATTGTTAGCGATTGCCTAACCATCGGACCACTGAGCCGGTATCTAACGGTGTTAATGTCTAACTTGATCAATTCACGGAGTTGCGCAACCTCATACACAGTCTTCGGTAGTTACTGTCTACACCTGAACAGGTTGAACTTCACTGGTCACGTCTTCCCACTAGAACTCGGAGAAGATTCCTCACGAAGCTAGTCACTAGTGAGCACAGGTAATTTGCATTACGAGGTTGATCAAGTTAGACATTAACACCGTTAGATGCCGGCTCAGTAGTCTAGCGGTTAGGGCGTTGGCGCACAATACCAAAGGTCCTGGGTTCGAATCCTGCGGGGTGCAGCAGTCGAGGATGTGCACTGCTAACGAGTCCCATACCGGGACGAAACGGCCGTCCAGTGCTTCCAGGTTTCTCACAGTGGTCTAATATTGATCGATTCATGGTTTCAAAAAGTAAATAATTGCAATGCAGTAACATATGATACGAAATATTTCTGTGGATATCCAATGTGAACTTGTCCTTCACAAATAGATTTGCTTACTAAGACATCTGGGATGTAGCTGGAGGATTCAAAACTCATAGGATAATCTAACTCCTCTATTGTGGCTGTATTTGGTTCTCTAAGCTGGTTGTTTTGGTTGTGGAGCTTTCATTGTTCTTCTACTGAACAATATCATCTGCACAAAACTTCAGATAGAAGTGAAGCATTCGAATTTCTACACAACTGACCTGTAGCTTGTTCTGTTAATCTCGATTGGTTGATTGGTTGCTGTTGACTTTAAACCTGTTGTTGTTTGCACCTCTGTTTTGATTGTATCCCTGTTTTGATCTGTTTCTTGATCCTATGTCACCTTTGAATTTCCTGATTGGTTGATTGCTGATTGACCTGAGTGCCAAGCTTCCAAAAATTCTCTAGTGCTTCGAATTCGAATGCTTCACTTCTATATGAAGTTTGTGTTGATGATGTTGTTCAGTAGAAGAACAATGAAAGCTCAACAACCAAAACATCCAGTTCAGAGAACCAAACACCACTACCAGAATCATCCACCTGAGCTACAAATATTCTCCACCACCTCTAACTCCCCTATACCATACAAAAAAATAAATTCAGGAGATGTCTAGTGTGATGGCACCAGTAGGTCTCAACATTCATAATGGAAGGGGAAAAGCCAAATCCTCCGTCATAACACAACATGCACTAACCTAATCATATTTGACGGAGAATGTGGAAACATTTACAGACGTAGTTAGCAATATTGATAAAAAGGGTGAATTTGATGTAGATTTGAAGGCATGGATTGGCAAAGCAAGGAAGGCATTTCTACAACTGAAGAATATCTGGAACTCAAAACAACTATCAACCAAAATCAGTCACAATTTTCATTGCGAGCGTTAACACAGTTCTACTGTATAGAACGGAAACTTCAGAAACTACAAAATTCATCACTGTAAGATGTAGATGTTTATGAACAGTTCCCACCACAATAAACTGGGCCTCCCTTAAACTAAACACGATTAACAGTAACTTAATGCAGCAGAGTACAAACCAGATCTCAGCTAAGGAAGAAATCAGGAAAAAACACTGGAGAAGCGATCGCTTGTAACTTTCAGGACCAAAGGCATACCAAGGAACACACTGCTCATAGAACTGGAAACTCACATGGAAAGAATGAATAGAGGTTGGTTAAAACTGGAAAGGACGCCTAAGGGCAGAGTTCGTTAGAGAATGCTTTACTAGGGGTGACAGGTACAAGTAAGTATATCTCTATGTCCATTGTCGGAAGGTAGTCAGTGACCTTGAGGGCTACATTTCTTATCAGTTATCAGTCGTCTGCATGGTATATTGAGAGAATAGATGCTCCCTGGATGACTGAAACTTGTGTCCCTCAAGGTTAACAGATGACAAGTTCAAGTCCCACTTATCATATATCGGAAGTAATTTTCCTGATAACTACTTCTTTTAATGATATCATTATTACATTCGAAATCGGTTGTTTGAGCCTTCCTGTTGATGTTTAGGACTGAAATCAATTCCTTATGCCATCAACTGACTATTGGCCGCCGACCAGTATATTCTAACCTACTCTTTACTATGCCTTCCTTTCCAGTTCTGTGCAATTTTTGTTCATTCTTCTCATGCCTGTCTCCATTTCTCGACGCAATATATTCATTGGCCGTCCTCTTTTCCTTTGTCTTAAGGGGCGCTAAGTGAGGACTTGTCTTGTGACGCAGTTTGGTGCTTTCCACATGTGTGTCATATCCACCTCCTGAGTTTCTTTCCGATTTCTTCCTCAACTGGAATCTCATTTGTTCTTTCCAACAGCGGGTTGTTTTTGATAGTGTCTGGCCAACGGATACGAAATATTTTGAATAGACAGCTGTTAATAAATACTTGAATCTTCTGGATGATGGCTTTGGAAGAACTGAAATCGATCATTCTCCTCTTTGGCATATACATGCTTCCTGTTCAGGTTGCCACGATATGATGCCTTTAGGGTTATAAGCTTTATGAGTAAAGATCAATAATGGCCAGCACGGCAATCCAACATGCGCATTTCGTCACATTTATGACTCATCAGCTGCATTTGTCAACATCCCAGAGATGAAATGTGAAGCCAGCTGACTATAGGTGACAGATAGAATGAAATGCTCATCGGATATTTTTCACTGCTAGTCACTCATCACCTCTGTCAACAAAATCATTAGCATTTCTCTCCTAAATTGATTGTACATTTCATAATTATTACCTAATTATCAATGTTGGCCAGTCAGAGTAGAAGATATTCGTAGGTTACTGGTTTTCGATCATAGGTGTCTTCGAAGCATTGCTCGTGTACCGTGGGACACCCGAGTGAGCAATGTAGATGTTTCGAAACGGGTATTAGGTAAGGATGGCATGTCAATAGATGAAGTATTGAAACTTCATCAGTTTAGGTGGTTGGGACATGTGTTAGGTAAGCCTAACCACCGACTACTTCGTGGAGCTATGATTTGCGATATAGGAATGGCATGGACAAAGGCTAGGGGAGACCATACCAAAACATGACAGAAATCCATGAAGTCACTGACAAGTTGACTGTGTCATGTTGGTAGGTGTCGACTACCTGGTTGAGGTCCGCGAGATGATAATAATCGATGGTTAGAGACCCTGAATGACATGGCTTAAAACCGTTTACAATGGCGCAGGTGCATCCATTCTTTGTGTTGTGTCAAACTGTAACCTGAATTCCTCATCAACTTTATCTTTTTCTTTTAAGCATATTTAACTAGAATCTTCATCTTGAGTAATATCCTGGAACCCTAATCTGTCCGATTACTGCTAATACCTTTACTACCTCTACTACTATTAGATTTGAAAATGACAATTAAATCTCTGTGCTAACATGGTATGGCAACTGGAACTGATGTACGGACGTACGAAGTTCTACGTTGCGATCGCTTGATTGTTAATTATCAATGTCTATTTCATTTTTATTAAAGCTGGTGATCAAATTATCAAAAATCTGACTGATAAATGTGGAATACGTAAACAAGACAATAAGATAATGGAAAAAATTCTTGGCGGCAAACCAGTTGAACCACATTCATGGCCATGGGCTGTAAGTGTTATTTAATTATTAGTGTTTAAACTTTTGAAGCAACTGTTTTTTCATTTGTATAAATACTGCACGTAAGCGTCCTGTTTTTAAATTTACTGTGAATTGAACCATGAATGTATTTCATTTAAATGGGTAAAGACATTTAGACAAGATGGAATGAGCTGAAATATCTGCATCATTAGCTTCAAACTTCCATTTATAAAACAAACAGATTCTTGACTGTCTTCTTTCACATTGATTGCGCACTACACCCGAATCTGATAGTGTTCATTACAGCAGTAACTTTTGTATTGCATTCACTTCATTGCATACTACTACTAATAAGCCAGGTTTTGAGCAGTACTTATCACAACTGTAATGCCCAATAATAAGTTGGATAAAAATGTAATCAGCTGCTACCTTAGTCCAATAGTCAAATAAAAGAACTCCAATGAATGCTGATATGATAATCACATTTTCAGAGTATTATCAAAAACAACCAGACCATCTTTCGAATGTTTGATTTCAAATAAGAGGAAAGATTGTTGGGGATGTTAGATCCAAAGAACTTACTTGTGGATAGGTCCTAATTTTGTAATTTTAATGTGAAATTTTTAATTTCCATGTTCTCGCGCCAGTTGACCTTCAGCTCACATTTCCCACTCGGAAAATCCTTGACTGTGATTGGTTGATGGATTATTTTAGTATGCCATTTTGTGGTTCTCACCGATGGCGTTTCTATCATTGTATAAATAAGTTTGATTTATGTGCTTGCCAACCTCATATTTTCTGGATGCTTGTAGAATACAATTTCTACGCCTTATCTAATCTTCTTGATCTGGTTAGCAGGCCCTGAGACAAATGGATTAGAGTAGCTTATTGTGTCAGTGAGTCATTGCTCTTCGTTCCATTTACCGAGTAAGGTGAACTCGTAATAGTTTCGAGCATATCACAGATTCTATTTAATTCTACAAGAAATCACGTCTACATATTAGGTTGTGAAGGAACAGAGTGACAAAGTAACAACAGTATTTCTAAAATTAGAACAACTATCAGCCAATGTCAAAGTCAGAATTTTTTACACAAACATCAAGATGGATTTATTGTTCCGGTTTGGAAAATTATTACGATTATCACAAATGCAAGTATTTATAAACAGTTTTCCAGGCAAGATACAACTGATTCGTTGGCCAGACACCATTTAGCCACAACCTACTGTGGGAGAGAGAGAACAAACCGGATCGCAGCTGAAGTGGAAATCGGGGAAAGACTCTGCAGGTGGAAGAAATCGCCTAGCTACATCACAAGACAATCACTAAGTTACAGGATTCATTGAAATTATGAATCGATCAATAGTAGTGAGAAGTCGTGACCAGTGGAGTCTAACCCTGTTGAGTGAGAAGCAGTGCTTGTGGTCGAGCAATATCGTGGAGTGACTGATCTAGAGGTTAAGCGCTCGCAAGTGTGACCAAATGTCCATAGTCCGATTCCCGAATGCGAATGACGTGGATGAGCACTGCTCATGAGTCGTATACTAGGATGAAACGGCCTTCCAGTGCTTCCAGATTTCTGACGGTAGTCTAACATTGATCGGTTCATAATTTCTGTATTATAAGAACTTAATTCAAGTAGAGATTTACTTGATAGGTTTTCCGCTAGAATACAAATCAGTTTTTTGTTTATCTATGGACAGATTATCATGACCTATATTTCTTATTTCGATGTGTCTTCGCATTCTCCAGTTGATCATAATGTTCCGTTACTAACCTACTTATTCACTTTCTTACCTAGTTACATACTTTCTCACTTTCGTTTTGAATCATAACTGTTACTCCTTGTGGAGCCAATCATTAATCTCCAACCAACTCTATCCTCCACTCTCCTACCAGTTGTTACCAATTTTATATCCCCCTCCAATTCCCGGAGTAGTAGCTTTTTTGGCCAACCTCTTTTTTTACTTTAGCCTTGAGGAGTCCAAGCTAGAGGACTTGCCTCATGACGCAGTTAGGTGATTTCTTCAATGTTCGTTTTCTCCTAATTTCTTCCTCAATCGAAGACAGGTTTGATCTGTACCATAGTATATTTCAGTTGATGCTGTCTAGCCAACCAATTTGCTGTAAGTGTGTTCAGTGATCAGTGAACCTCTCCTCCCGTTATTGATCAATCATTTCTGCACAAAATAAAACATTTGTTTTTCTATCGATTACGCTCTTAGCCGAAGGGAAATTCTTGACATCTCTCAACTATCTATAACCTTGACATCTCACTAATCATATTTGCATTTGCATTTATCCATACTTCTTGATAATATAATGTAGGCTATATCAACTCACTATTAACCCCTATAATTCCTCTATACTCAGTTAAAGAGCTCTGATAAAGTAGTTTGAAACTACATTAAGAAATCAGCAATCAAATCGTTTAATTTACAACGAAAACAAGCAGAAAAATCAAATCAAATCATGAAATTTTAATACGTCGATCTCACAAAAGTACGAAGCCAAGTTTATTGAATCACTCTTTGAATTCATCAATCAATCAATGTTAGATCACCATCATTAGAAACTTAGAAGCACTGGACGATTATTTTGTCTTGGTATACAGGACTCAATCAATCAATCAACAGCGACAACATAGAACTTCGTACGTAATTACGTACATCAGTTCAAGTTACCATACCACATTAGCACAGAGGTGTCATTGTCAATTCAAATCCCATAGTAGTAGAGGTAGTAGAAGTATTAGTAGTAATCGGAAGTTTTAGGGTTCGACGATATTATTTAATAAGTAGAATCTAGTGAAATAAACTTAAAAAGAAAAAGATAAAGGTGATGAGGGATTCAGAAGGTTACTATTTGAGAGAACGCAAAGAGTGGGAGCCCCTGCGCCATTGCAAACGTTTTCGGTCCATGTCATTCACTGTCTCTAACCATTAATCAGTCAGTCAGATGCAACGTAGAACTTCGTACCTAAATACATCAGTTCACGTCGCCATACCACATCAGCACAGAGATGTAACTGTCAATTCAAATCCCATAGTAATAGAGGTAGTAAAGGTATTAGAAGTAATCGGAGAGGTTAGGATTAGAAGATATTATTCAAGAAGTCTGATTCAATGAGAAAAGTTTAGAAAGTCAAAACAAGAGGGGTTGAAGAACCCAGAAGATTAGGATTTGAGAGAACACAAAGAATAAATTCACCTGCACCATTGCAAACGATTTCGAGCCATGTCATTTAAGGTCTCTAACCATCGATTACTATCATCTCGTAGGCGCCAACCATGTAGTCAGCACCTACCAACATGACACTGTTCACTTGTCAGTGACTTGATGAATTTGTGCCATGTTTTTATTTGACCGCCCCTAGCTTTCATCCAATCTATTCGGTATTTGCGATTTATCTGCAATATATATAGCATACTCGTTATTCATTTTTTTATTTCTGCCTGCCTATTCTAATTTCCAGGTTCGTTTATCTGTCAAACTACCACGTCGTAGATCAGTAACATTTTGTGGTGGAACATTAATTGCCCCACAATGGATATTAACTGCAGCTCATTGTGTTCTAGTGGAAAATAAACAAATACCAGTCGGAAAACCAGTGATATTAGCTGATCATATGAAAAGTACAATCTATGCACATTTAGGTGATCATGATCGGTATGAAAAAGAAACTGCACAAATCGATTTACGTGTTACTGTGGCTATTATACATTCAAATTATCATAGAAAATTACAAACTGATGGTTATGATATTGCTCTGTTACGTTTAGCTGAACCAGTGAAAACAGGTAATTACGATTTATCGTTTTAATGTTTATTACACTTACTTTCATTATTGAATAATTGTATTGTTATACCTGAACATAAACACGTCATTTTGATATGCTTGAACTATGATGAGTTTATCTTTGTCGGAAAACGAGAGCGAGGATCGAGGATCCGGTGGCACGACATGCTACTCAAATCCGATTATCCCAAAAATGAGAAGACTTGATGTGAAGTAGAACCTGTATTCTACAAGCATTCAGAAAGTACGAGGTCCGGATTCAGAAGAGAATCAGGATCCTGTATAGTGAACGAGAACACAGGTGTGGTAGTGGTAATCCGGCATATTGTAGCGCGTCACGGAATACAGAAGGTGATATTAACTGACCAGGGTCCTTGTTTTTGAAAGAATACGACGACAGCTTATTAAAATGGGGGACGAGTGTGGTGTGAGCTACTTATAAGTAGTATATGATGTGAGTGTCAACGTAATGTCTGGCAACATAATATGGGGGAAGATCAAGAAAGGAAGAGTTAGAAAACAATGGATTTTGTATGAAACTCATGAACAGTGAGTGACAATGGATTGATGTTTTGCAACAGGAACAGTCCAGTTCGATAGGATGAACTGATATTTTGCAAATTAACGAACGAGTTACGATATGGTTTTCCAATTTTACTGAGTAACTCTGTAATTCCTCTAAATACAATTCGGTTGTCCTCACCTGTGTTCTCATTCACTACACCAGGACTAGGGATCCGGGACCGGGTCCTGGTCATAAAACGTAACAGATAATGCGTATTTATACATT